CAGCTGGGGTCAGCTGCCCCAGCTGTGTCCCCTCCCAACCAAATGTGCACCCCCAGCCTCCTTTCTGGTGGGGCAGTGTGAGAAGAGGAAGAGGCCTTGTCTGTGTAAGCACTGCTCGGCAACAGCTAAAACATCGCAGTGTTATCAACATTGTTTTCAGCACAGATCCAAATCAGAGCACCATACTAGCTGCTGTGAAGATAGTTCAGTCTATCCCAGCCAAAACCAGCACAAATACACCATATATGTATGTCTTTAGTCTCCTCTGAAGTAACACAAATTGCCAAAATTAAATTCAAATAAATTTTTAAGATGCTGTTTTCTTGGGGGTTTTTTTTCCCCTCGGTATTTATTAGTTTCTGTACTTTTAATGGGCTCTGTCTGAATGTCTCTTCAGTCTCCCACTGGTGATTCCATCTTCATGCACTACCATGTCAACCTTTCTAACACTGTGCACATTTCTAGCTGTGAGCAATCTGTATGCAGTGGCAGTCTCTGCTACTGAAGTGTTTCAGCCCTGTGTCTTCAGCTGCAGCATTGAGCCCACTCAAAACTTTGGGCTTGCACCACTGCAAACTGTCTTGGTTCCACAATGATCAGTGTTATAATGACACTAGGAAAAAAGCATTAAGCCAATCCAGAAAAGCCCCACATCACAGGACAAAAAGTACTACCCATTTCATTTTCTTAATTGTTGTGGATAATCAGAAAGTCTTTGGAAAATTAAATGGGTTTAGATTTTAGCATATAAAATAGCCCTTAAAATAATGATCGTGTTATCTTATGTGTCTGACTGCTCCTTCAGACTGGAGACCTGATAACATAACACTAGAAATGTCTATTGATTAATCTACACACCTGTAAGAGACTGATACCACCTTAACTGGCTAATGATTAAATGTCTGATATGAGCAGGACACACTCACAACTGTATCACTACAAGACAAAAATTTTGAGTTACAATTCTGTGGCCTGTTACTAGCACTGCTAATTCACAAATGCTACCCAAGCTCCATCATGCCACAATTCCCTTTTCCACTTACTATTGGGGCACAAGCCTATCCCTTCTCATCCCACCCTTGCACACCGAGTCTTTTGGACACAGACCTGATGAGAGTGTAGGAGGTTGTTGTCTCAGGGGTGTTGTCTGCCATCCTGAGGGACCTGAGGTCACAGAATAGCTTTACCACTGGATGTGTTCACACTTTTAGAACCAGAATATCTCATCCCTCTTTGCTCTCCACAGGAATATTCCTAATGCCTGGGGTTTTTTTTAAATTATTTTCTAGTCTTCTTCTTCCTATTTAATTAATTCCTAGTGGCTATTTTCCTGAACCTACCTTGTCACCAACCCTGCACCTCTTTTCCTCTGCCTAGGGTCCTCCCAAACAGGACCTATTTAATTACAGGCTTCTAATTATTTTTCCCTTACTGGCCCCAATTCTGCTATATCCACACCTAAATTTGGTGTTTCTAACACTTCTATCCAGGCACTTTTGATACAAAATGGTATTGCTCATACTGTTATCTAGACAGTCCCAAGACTCCCTTCAGACCCTTTCGTTCAAGCTGGTTACATTTCCTCTATACCATATGCTTTTTGTGCTTTTTGAACAGAAATATGTTATCTTACTTCAGCCTTGACTTCCCTACTAGCTATTTAAGTCAAGCAGTTTCGTGATTTATGCAAAGACAGCTTGCATACCAGAGCAACAGAATAACCCATTTTGTGCTTATACAATTTCTTTGCCCATGAACAGCTTCAGTTACCTTCCAGGTTCCATGGTGGCATTAGCTGGTTTTGAAGCCCAGTGTCTGAGTCTCTGGCTCACAGTAAGGATGTAAGGAATGTCCTTTGAGGAGCAGTTGAGTACTTCAGGCCTGTCTAGTTTGGAGAAAAGGCTGAAAGGTGACCTCATTGCTACTGAGGAGGGTAGGTGAAGAGACTCTTATCCCTTCTCCATGGTATCTAGTGATAAGGTCCAGGGGAATGGTTCAGAGCTGCCCCAGAGGAGGTTTTGAGTGGACATTAGGAAGTATTTCTTTACTGAGAGGGTGAGAAAACACTGGCACAGGCTTCATAGAGAGGTGATGGATGCCCCCAGCCTGTCAGTGTTTTAGGGGTGTTTTGACAATGCCTTTAATAATCTGCTTTAACTTTTGGTCAGCCCTGAAATGGTCAGGCAGTTGGACTAGATGTTCAGTGAATCTGAAATGGTCTATTCTACTCTAAACAACTCCAGAAGAGACCCACTAGCAAGGAGATGTACATTGCAGCAAAAAAATACTTCATTGATGTCAGCAACCATATCACATCTTGTTGTTAAGAGTCACTTTTTCTTACCAGGGAACACAGATCCTCCTGTTAGTGCCAAAACGCCAGGCTGCATTGCCAGTTGCTCCTTTTCACTATCATCTGGCATCTCACTTCACTTTACCACCAAAACCATCACCTCTGAGCTAAGACCCAGTCACAGCTCCCTGCCATCTGCCAGTTGCCATTTCCAACCCTACACAGTCTTGTCTCACTGGGAGTGTGCTGCAGAGGCATGGCTGCACTCCCCAAAGGTGTGTGTGCTGCTCACGCAGACAGCACCTGCACAGCCATGGCGGCACTGACTGCTAACCTGCACTGGTGGCAGCATCCCTGCCAGCACGGGAGTAGCTGGTCTGTGCAGGGCCACACCACCCCCAGGCTGAGTGATGTGATTCCCAGGGTGGGCTCATGGGGTAAAGACCACGTGGATTTGAGTCACAGCCCTGGCTGAAGGTAAGAGAAGCTCCACAAGTGCTTCCTAGTCCTTCTGCTCCTTGACAGTGTTAACAGGGAAACTGTATCCTTTCCATAAATTCAGCCTGAGGAACTGCATGAAAGATTCTTGGTAGCATGACCAATTTTAAAACCTTCAGATTAAAAGGCAGCAATTCTCACGTTACTGGGAACTGATAAGGACAAGGACAGTACACAGTCACCCTTAGGGAAATGGCTAAGCTAAGACAAGCTGTAATATAAGAGACAGTGAGTGGGATTTATGTGTAAACTCTGGACACCTACAATGTGTAAATGATTCATCTCATTTGGAAGAGAACATCTACGTTTGGTCACATGAACTGCACTGTTACATTTAGCTATTTCTCCTCCTACGTGATTCAGGAATAGTGCTCTGCAATACCTCGCTCAGGCACCTTCGTATTTGGATAGATAAATCTCACACCACATCTAGAGGTAGTATCCCTCTGCTTAGAAGGTAAATTCTAGGTGCTACAAGCGTCCCTGTCAGAATTTGAAATGAATCTCACTTTTTCTCATTTGCTTTTGAATTTCTGAACCTTCACAACTGCAGAAAACAAGACTTATAAAAGACCCACACTTTACCTTCTATAATCAGCATTTTCTATGTGATAACAAGTGATTTATTCAAACTAAAAACTAATACTTCTTTTTTGATCTTTTGTTAGAACTAATTAGAATTCCTTCCCATGACTTTCCACTTTGATCTGTAAATCAATTTCTGACCCTACCAGCAACTTGTGAAATATTTATTAGCACAGGAATATTATCACAGCCTGATTATTGTCTAGATCACCCAGCAGCATACATGCCAGGATGTTATTACTGAGAAACTTGGCTGTGGTGTTTAGCTGTAAATTGTGACAGTAATTTTCCATGTCCCACACTCTGCCTTACTACAGGTTTTTGTTTACCCATGTTCTGGTCTGACAGTACCATTCCATCTTGCCTGTCTCTTTGGCTTGCTGTACAGACATAATCTTGCAAAGCAGGATTACAAAATCAATATGATTAAATCAAATCATGGTATTATAATGAAGCAAGCTTCATAAGAGAAATTTTAATCACTCATGGATGTCACTTTTATTTTAAAAGCAGAGTGTCTGATTTATGGTTATTCTATGCCTTGGATATTAAATGTGGAACTAGATATAATTTAAGGGGAAGATATAACAGGTGTCTACAGAAGTATATGCATCATGGAAAAGATGGGTAAGGACTGATCCAGATACATTCCCATAGGGGCCTGTCTAATTTTATGATTTGATTACATTTGAAGCAAACAGAACAAGGTAGGTTTGATACAATGGATGATATATCCAAAGGTTGTAGGCCTTTGGAATTCCTTAATAAAGAGGCTGTGGATGCCAGAAATTTACACAGTCCCAACAGGAGACCAGAAAAATACCCTGAGATCTTCTGGGGGTTATCAAACCATCACAAGCTCAGGAAATTCCCTCAATATTGTTGGAAGCTGGGACAGTTAGGGAAAGGCATCAACACAGGGTACCTCATTTTAACACTTCCTCAACTGACAGTTGCAGCCACATTTGGAGATGTAAGGGACTAGATGGCCACTCCTAAGTTTGTAAAGTTTGTAGATGTTTAGACCAAGATTCCTCAGAAATGGTTACTAGAGCTGGCATTATTTCTTCATGGAAAAACAAGGGCAAGCATCTAGAGTCAGCAGCTAGACAGCACATGAGTGCTAAGGGCTTAGGTAGGGGAGGATAGGAGAAATACCACAGGCAGTTTCTGAAAACAAAAAGCAAGCTGATTGTTTTGAATTAAGTAAGTGGATGGGTGAAAGAGGATTCAAAAAGAAGATGACAATAGTGAGAGTTAGAAAAGTGGCCTTTCAGCTGCAGTCTCAAGGAGCAGGACAAGATTGTCAACAGCAGACAAATCATGGAGAAACAATTACAATGTTGAAAGTCTGAGCAAAAGTTTTGTACATCAGCTGTGCTGCCTCAGGCTGTCAGTGCCATGCTCAGTATCATCCCTCTGGCAGCAGCAGTAACAAGTGCATAAGGTATTTTAGTTCTTTGTTGTTGGAATGGAAAGCTCTTATATTAGAGGCTGATAAAATACAAATGTAGTCCAAATGCAGCTAGAGCAAGAGAAATTGATGCATCTATCCCTCATCACAGACAGCTAGGACTATTGAGGCTTGAAGCCTGACCCAGAAACTGTCCCCACTTTTCCTCAGCTGTGGGAACAACACAGGCTATACTCTGTTCCCAAGTTCACCACACCAGGATCCTCACTGCTCTGCCTCCTACCTTGCCCTGCCTGGGGTACAGCTGGTGACCAAGAACTCTCTGCTGCACTACATCACAAGTACCCACTGTACCTGGACAAGGGCATAAGAAAAGGGTACCTCTCCTCTCTGCCCTCTGCCTATGAGGCAGATACTGCGTGTCAGTCCTTACAGAAGACCAACAGAGGCAGAGCCCATGGAGGATTAGAAGCAGGGAAAGTGAAATGAGTGATGGTTACAGGTTCAGGTTCTATTGCCTTCTGATCTTCAGTACTCTTCAGGAGCATGTGGCACTGACAGCTTTGTGTCTGCTGCCTGGGATTCTTGTTCAGTCACCATCAGGACATCCCTCTGGCCTTGCTCATTATCTCCCTGCCTGGATGGAACGAACCCTGACAAGAAGAATTATTTAAAACTTGCACCCAATATTTAAACTTGACTAATAAACACAACCATCATATTGTTCACAGTGACCAGATAAATGAAAATTTCAAGGCAAAGAAAAATCCCTGCTTACTCATGTGAGTTGCACATGACAGCTACAAATCTTTGCGAGAAATATCAGCAATATTTGTTTATCTCTGTTTTTTATCTAAGTACTGCTAAATATAAAATCCACAAACAAGAAGCAGGATCTGTGACCTGGAGCTTTTGTGTGAACACCATTGCTGCAGGCTATGATGCAGCACGTATGGCCTCCTTTGGTGCTGTGTAGCTTTTTCCCAGAGTGTTAATGCGTGCTCCGCTCCCAGCCTGTTCCAGAGAAGGACAGCAAGGTCCGGCCATCTCTGTAAGACCCAGGTCTGGACACCATGAGGCTGTGGGTGAAAGCTGCCCTCTGCATGTTCGGCAAGTCCTCTGCTCCTAGGCTGTTTCACCAGGTGTGGCCGACCCCACAAGTGCTTTAAAAAGACAGCATTTGGAAAGGCTTTCTATTGGCAGCACTGAAATCCCGACGTGCCCGCAGATCCAAGACCTTCAGGGCCCGCCTGGGTGAGGGTTTCCCTTTCCCTCATCGCTACCCTCTCTGTCCCTCAGCCGCGGGAGCTCCCGCGTACCCGGGCCTGAGCTGCCGTGTGCGGGCTCCGGGAAGGAGAAGGGAGGGAGCCCGCGCCTCGTCCTGCCGGGACCGCCTGTGCCGGTGCCGAGACCCTCCCAGGGCCGGCGCCGCCAGTGTCCCCCGGGCCGGGCCCGAGACCCTCCCAGGGCCGGTGCCGCCAGTGTCCCCCGGGCCGGGCCCGAGACCCTCCCAGGGCCGCCGTTGCCCGCCGCGTTCCCCGGGCCGCCCGGCGCATGCGCCTTGCCGCCGCCGCGCGGTGCTCCTGCGGAGACGCGGGCGCCGGGGCCGCGGCCGCGACGTGTTGCGCTCGGAGCCCCGCATGGGCTGTGCCGCACCGGCTGCTGCGGCCGCGCCGCTCCCGGCCGCCCTGCTGCGGCCGCGCCCCGCTCCGCAGGCTCCAGCTGTTCGCTGGGATGCCTTAAAGGACCTCTGCGTTCCTGCAGTTCATTCCGGGCTGCTCTTGCCTCCTCCTCCTCCCCACGGCTGCGAGCCCCTTCTTGAACTGCTCCTCACGCTGTCGCTGCTCGGAGCAGGCGGGCATTTCCATGCGAGCGCCAGCCGCCCGCTGCTGTAACGTGCATCAGCACATCAGCCACCTCCCGCTCCGAACCCGGAGCGATTTCATTACTTGTCGTGGTGCAGGGACCATTTTTCGGCAGGAAGGTCCAGTGTAAGTGTATTTTCGGCTTCCGCTCTTCTGTACCGGCCATCGGTTTTGTTCACCATCCCCCGGGAGCCGAGGGAACCGAAGTTGCCAGGTAAATGCCCCCTTCCTTGTCTGCAGCACTTCGGGAGGCGGCTCCGGTCTGCCGGGTTGCATGGCTGCTGCGCCGCTGTTGTACAGCACGGGTTCGGAGCAGAGGCAGCGCTCAGTGGCACAGCTGTCACCGGGCATCTCGTGTCGCCGCCCGTCTCTCGTGATATGGCTCCGCACGGCTGCGGGGAGCGGGAGGCTGTCGTGCTGCCCGGGCCGGCGGGGCCGGGGCAGCGCACGGTGCCGCTGCGGCAGCGCGGCCCCGCCGTCACCGCTGTCGGTGTTGTCCCCGCAGGCCGGGCGGGCGCCGCCCGTCCCCGGGGAAGCCCGGCGGCGTGAGGCCGCCCGCCGCCGCTGCTTATGCAACACATCATCGATAACCACCCCGACATGGCCACGGCGCTGCTGGCGGGCGAGAAGCTGAAGGAGCTCATCCTGCCGGGGCAGCAGGATGACAAGGCGGGCGCGCTGGCCGCTCTGCTGCTCCAGCTGAAGCTGGAGCTGCCCTTCGACCGCGTGGTCACCATCGGGACCGTCCTCATCCCCATCCTCCTCGTCACCCTCGTCTTCACCAAGAACTTTGCCGGTAAGGGCGGCAGGACGGGCAGGGTCGTGTCCCGGTGCATGCTAAACGAGACCTGGTGCTGGGGGATGACAGCCAGCCCTCGCCTTGGCGGGTGGGGACAGCGGCAGGGCGGCAGTGGCCGCTGCCTGAGAGCCACTTGTGCTCAGGAGGCCGCCGCTGCCCCTGTCGTGCCAGGACAGGGGTGTCGCCTTGCTGGGCAGGGTAGTGGTGTCGCCGTCCAGGCCGGTCCCTAACGGGGACAGCTGCTGCCTCTTTCTTGGCCGGCCGGCGAGGGGTGGGGAGGTGCTGGTGGTGCCCAGCAGCAGGTGAGAGCTGGCATGGGTGACAGGGCAGGTTAATGCTTGAGGCAGATCCTGGACAGGTCCTGAGCTGGACCTGGCTGATGTCAGGCATTGTCCTGATGTCGCTTCAGGCATCTACAGCATGTTAACTGGTCTGCCAGGGAGAGGCTGATGCTCTCATGGAGACTGATACTATATATGGATCCCCATGCAGTGTGCTTTGCCGGATTGTGACACTGGAAATCACTGGTATCTGTGTCTGCTGAGGTCATCTTGCATAAACTGGTAACAGTTTAAAAAGCCTGGTTTGAATGCCCATCACCACCAGTCTCAGAAGGTCAAGTTTTGGTGAGCCTTGAAAACTACTGATCCAGTAAAGTGTTAGGACACCTTTTGGGCCACTAGCATATGTGTAAACATTGTTTTGCTGAGTGGATTGTAGGCTTGATGAGTGTAGCTGCCAGTGCATGACTGCCTTTAATGTCCCTTGAAGCTCCATACTGAAAATCCATGGGAAATTATTGGTGTTTTAATATGCAGGGCTGACCTGGCAGTCTGTAGCTTGTGAGGTTGGTGAGAATTGGCTGTACTTAACCAGCTTAAACATACCAACATCAGGCTCTTGCTTTGTGTGCTTCTTTGGGATTGACTTACAGTCCTTAACACTTATTTTCATTATGAGGTGAAGTTAAATCATCTAGAAGTATAACTGCTTACAAATGGTGTCGTGAGATTTTTCTTAATCATAGTTAAAACTTTTTCATCTACCTCAGTTTTTTAAAAAATAGTTTTATAGCTCAGGATCTTCAACCACAGTTAATAAGAACCTCATCTTTTGGATGCTCTTCTGGAGGTGTCTTGGAGAAACCATGTTTACATGGTACATGAAAACTGGCTCTTCATAGCAACTGAAAGACAGGTTTCAAGGTCACCTTTGAGGATCCTCTGTGGGGTGCAAAAGTTTTGTGAAAAGAAAAGTTCTCTGCAGAGAACTAAGCTAACAAAAAGGCAGTCCTACAGCAGCTCACGAGAGTGCATCCTTACATATATACTTTCATACTGTTTGAGGCGTACAGATTTGAGCCTCAGTCGGCCTAAAGACAGCCTTGGATGCAGGCAGGGTCATGCCCCCTTCACGTGTGTTCCTTGACACAGGGCAGGATTGCTAGCAGAAGCCCCTAGGTGCCTCACTGCTTGGTCAGACAGCAGCAGCTTTCTCCGTATGAAGAAGTCATCTGAGGCTGCAGATGGTAGAGAAGTATCAAGTCTGAGACTCAGATTTATAAAGTGACTCTCCCTCTGCAAGGCTAAACTGTAGTCCCACATACAGAACAAAGAGGACCTGTTGAATTTGCTCGCATCTCCCTGTGCTTCTGCTGTTGAGTTTATTTTGTGCTGTGGAAGACTATTACCTAGGCTCACACTTGTGTTCCAGATTTGTTTTTCAGAAGGACTAAAAGCAGTGTCACTTATGTCTACTTATGGGCTGTGTATGCTGATTTGACCCAGTAAGATTGAGAGCAGTAGCCTATTGTGTCCTGCCAGGACAAAATTTATAAGGTAACACAGAAAACACCCTTACATCTCTGGGAAAATGTGGGAAAATGTTCTTCTCTCATATGATGTCATGTGTGTTCAGATGGTCTGCAGTTAGAAAAATAATATGAGAAAATGAAAAAATTATGCAAGAGAATGTAATTGAAAAAGTCTAAGGATCTAATAAAACTAAATAGATAATTTTTAAGCTTACGTCAAAGAGTTCCAGGTTAGTGAATTCAATTCTGCTTCCACAGAGTTCAAGAGAAAAACTTACATTAATTTTAATGTGATCTTAATCAGACGTTGCTCTTTTAATGAAACAGTATTTACTCAGACTTCTTTGCTAAGTCATGCATGTCCAGATACCCTGGTAATAACAATAGTTCAGCTGGATTCATGTTTACTACTGATTCTACAGTTTGTGTTGTTTCACCCATGCACTGTCACCAACCTTGAAAAAAAATCTAACTTTGTTTGCTTTGGATACTGCTTCTTCTGTGCAATTTAAATAGTAGCTATGCAAGTACAAACTTTGCTGGTGTAAGGTACCTACTGCCTTTTGGTTGTGAATACATAATAGCTTTCCAAACTTTGCTTTGGGCCCTTGTGTGCTTTTCTGATACTTGCCCTTATTTCTCATTTCTGTTAATGATACCCAGTGCAAGCTATGTGAAGATACCATCATGCCACTAAACTGAAAACAACCCCCTTTTCTGGGGTCTATACCATCTTACTTAATCAGTATTGGTAAAGCTTTTGGAACAATGGTGTGTGCACTCAAGACATGAAAATGTAGTTGTCTAAAATAAGTGGTTTCTCAAAACTTTTTTTCTGAGGATTGGCAGAACCCTCATGATCAGTGGGTAGAGGAGGTCAGAGCCTCTTATCTAGTTTGTCTGTGTGCAAAGTGCAGCTGAAAGTCAAGACCAGTCTGTCCAACAAGCCTGGTGAGAATTGGTCCTGCAGGGTGGGTGTCCTGCCCTGGGGGTGCAGAGGGCACCCCACCATCCTGGGAAGCCTGGGAGTCCCCACGCAGCAGTAAGTCTGCTGGGGCCAGAGCCTGCAAGGAAGCACGTATGAAAGCAAAGTTCAGCCCTTCATCAGAAGACAAAGAAAGAGCATGGTGTTTATTTAAAAGTTTGTAATTGACAACCTTAAAAGTCATTATGACTGTAGTATAATGTATTGTATGCTCTGTTTTGCCTGTGACTGCAGATAAAGCTACCTAGTTAATTATTTTGTTTTAGTACCATGGGAAAAGTCATTGTTTTGGTAAATGCATGTGCTCTTCATGTAAGTGATTTGTTTGCCCTTGAGTTGGAGTGTTCTGATCTTTAAATTTCTTTTGAGAAATTTAATGACAAATTACTGTTTTGGTAGCATAAGAGGCAAGACCTAATTATTTAGCAGATTCTATGCCAATATTGTGAAAAAATCACAATTCATCTGAACTTAATGTGTTACAAAAGACTTTGAATTAGATATTGTGCTTTTCTTCTATTACATGTATCATAAAGTCAAGGAGCTGTTTGGGTCAGAAGGTGCTGTAAAGATCATCTAGTCAACTCCCTGCCACGGACATGGATGCCTTCCCTTAGACCAGGCTACTCAAAGCCCTGTCCAGCCTGGCCTTGAACAGTGCCTTGAAGAGATGGGACATCCACAACTTCTCTGGACAGTCTGTTCCAGTGCCTCACCACCCTCACAGTAAAGAATTTCTTCCTTGTGTTCCATCTAAAGCTACCCTTTTCCAGTTTAAAACCATTCTCCTGAGATACAGGCCCTGCTAAAAGTCTGTCCCCATCATTCTCAAAAGCCTCCTTTAAGTACTGAAAGGCCTCAGTTAGGTCTTCCTGGAATCTTTTGTTTTCCAGGCCAGACAGCCCCAGTTCTCTCAGCCTGTCACAGAAGTTCTCCATCCCTGTGGTCATTTTCAGGTCCCTCTGGTCTCACTCGGGCAGATGTTTCCTGAGCAGAGGGTTCCAGAGCTGGGTGCAGTACTGCATGTGCAGTCCCACGAGAACACAGTGGAGGCTCTCAACCTGCTGGCCACACTCCACGCTGTGCAGCCCTGCATGCTTGGTGTCCTTCCAGTGTGTCTTGAGGTGGGAGGAGAGGTTGTCATCCTTGGTGTGCTTTTGCTCTATAAATGAATCTGTAACGTGGCTAAAATATATTGGGAGATAAGGTTTTGTTTCCATACGTCACTACTAGGTGGCAGTGCATTCGGGGTGAAATTGAGCTCTCTGCAGGAGCAAGGCAAAGGGCAGACACTTTGCTAGGATGTGCTCCTGAAAGTTAAATTCAGGCTGCAAAGGAGACAGCAAGAATTTGACCGCTGAATTCAATGGGGACAAGAGTTCACTCTGATGGCTGAAGTAAGATACGATTCTTGCACTGACCCCCACTTCCTA